ATATAGTAAAAACTTAAAAAATCTTCTTTTAAAGAACCCAAAGAGCTATGGCTAAGATATTTAGCATGAAACATGTTCTAATGGGTGTCTACCAAGTTTGTTCAAATAAAAGCCCTGGAGTTAAAATTGGCCCCGCCCCGGGGTGTCATTGATTTTCCCTATATACATAGAGTAAAAACTTAAAAATCTTCTTTTAAAGAACTCAAAGAGCTATGGCTAAGATATTGAGCATCAAACATGTTCTAATGGGTGTCTACCAAGTTTGTTCAAATAAAAGCCCTTGGGGTCAAAATTAGCTCCGCCCCAGGGGGCCATTGATTTTCCCTATATGCATATAGTAAAAACTTATAAAATCTTCTTTTAAAGAACCAAAAGAGTTAGAGCTAAGATATTTAGCATGAAACATGTTCTAATAAGTGTCTACCAAGTTTGTTCAAATTAAAGCCCTGGGGTCAAAATTGGCCCCGCCCCGGGGGGTCATTGATTTTCCCTATATGCATATAGTAAAAACTTAAAAAATCTTCTTTTAAAGAACTGAAAGAGTTAGAGCTAAGATATATAGCATGAAACATGTTCTAAAAAGTGTCTACCAAGTTTGTTCAAATAAAAGCCCTGGGGTCAAACTTGGCCCCGCCCCGGGGGGGGGGTCATTGATTTTCCCTATAGGCATATAGTAAAAACTTAAAAAATCTTATTTTAAAGAACTCAAAGAGCTATGGCTAAGATATTTAGCATCAAACATGTTCTAATAGGTGTCTACCAAGTTTGTTCAAATAAAAGCCCTGGGGTCAAAATTGGCCCCACCCCGGGGGTCATTGATTTTCTTTATATGTGTATAGCAAAAACTTAAAATCTTCCTTGAAAAAACCCAAATAGCTAGAGTTTAGATATCAAGCATGAAACATCTTGTAGTAAGTGTCTAGAAAGTTTGTTCAAATAAAAGCCCTGGGGTCAAAACTGGCCCGGCCCCAGGGGTGTCATTGTTTTTAACTATATGTTTATAGTAAAAACTTAAAAAAAATCTTCTTTTTAAAAAGCCCAATGAGCTAAAGCTTAGATGTTTAGCATGAAACATCTTCTTATGGATGTGCAAATAAAAGCCCTTGGGTTAAATTAGCCCTGCAACGTGGGGGGGGGGGGTTTGGGGGGGACCAAATATACAGGTGAGCGACCTCAGGGCCATCATGGCCCTCTTGTTTTCTTCGATTTAACATTTCTCTGAAAGGGAAAATCTTCGCAAGAAGGGAATTTTAGACTGTTTTTTGGGAAAAAAAGGTAGTTAGTTGGCTTGGGGAAGTAGCCGAATACCGGCTACAGCAAAGAAGGGTAAAAAAGGCCCTGAATTCCGCGCATGTGCGTGACGAGATTTTAAGCTAAATGTTAGTGTCCAATCCTTGTAATATAAATCTGTGATGTCAATGACTGTTGTTGCTTATTTATTTTCTAGAACATACTTGCTCGTAACCACCATATTAGCTATGTACCAAATGAATGAATATCACTACACCTTAACATAATTACAGGTGTCACCATGTATATCAATCACTGTCCAATTATCTTAATCTCTCACAATGAAGATGTTGATAGGATTAAAATACCTGAAAAGGGTGTTAAATTTACAAACACTTCAGATAAACATAAAATGAAGTTAAAATATCAAACACATTCCTTTATAATCTTTGTTAAGAAATATTATTAGATTAAGTAAAAGCTAAAATGATAACTTATTAAATAAAAATTGGGGGAGAACTGTCTGCATTTTTCAAATTTTGGAGGGAACCGCCAGGGGAGGAAACTCCCTGTACGTCAATGCTCCAGAGTGGGTTATGTACAGTATTGGAAGAAGAAGAAGTGGTTTGGGAGAGAACCGTCAGGGAGAGGAACTGGTAAGGGAGAGAATAGTCTGTCATTCCAAGCAGGGTATAATGATGAATAATGTATACATTAAACTTCACTTATAGCCAACACTGTTATAGCGAACTTCCGGTTATAAGGAACAATTTATTTTGGCCCGAATTTTGCCCTTCTTTATTTAATATAAGAATATACGGTTATAGCGAACATGGTTATAAGGAATTTTCGCTTATAAGGAACTCATTTCTTAGTCCCAATTTAGTTAAAAGTACAGAAAATTACACTTTTATAACGAACTCCAAAATATCGGCTATCCGTAAATAGATCCGGCATTTTCAACTTTGGTTTTCATTGGCACTTGTTCCAATGTACCGTTTATTGTTGTATGTTCTTCAAGACATCTATTAAAATGAATTTTATAGCAGAAGGTAATAGAATAATCCATTGAAAACAACAAAGTACGCTTGATTTAAATGAAAAGAAATCTATATCTTTTACTAGAAAAAGTCACCCTTAAAATATAATAGAAGATATTCAATATAAAAGGAAAGAAAAATCAAAAATCGTGGTTATTCTTAGTCATGGGAGGAAAACGAAAAGTTTAGAATTAAAAAAGGGAGTAAAAATTAAAAATGAAATAGCAAAGGATTTTCAAATTCCAAAAAGTACGCTCTCGGGTATTGCGTCTAAAATATAGAAATAAAAGACTTTTTTTTCTTAATCAAATGCTCTTCAAAATCGCGGACATTGGTAAACAAACAGTTCGTTATATGTAAATCTGTTTGCTATAAGAACTCCTGATGCAAGGAACTAATTCGCTATATGCTTACAAGGAACTCCGGATATAAGGAACAGATTTTGAATGTCCCAATGTGTTCGTTATAAGCGGAGTTTACTGTAATTATACTCCCTAAAAATTGATGAATAATGAACTTTTGTTTTTTTTATTTAAAATTATGTATCAATAGTTATTTAGTTTAGAAGTTTTCATTAAAATTATGGTAAATTATCAACTGCATAACACATATTTGATTAGGCAATTTCTTTAACCATTTACCTCATATATACGCGAAACAACGCACTTTCAACCCCCCCTTTTTTAGACCTCAAATAGTGAAAATAATGTCCTATTTGGGCCCCAAACACATGTTTTCGTTTGAGAAATGTTACTTTAAAAAATGAGCACTTTTTCGGCGCCGCTCCCCATCCAAAAGATACATCAGGGGGTTGCCAGAAGGGGGATGTGCCCCCTTCTGTTAGGGGGGTTTGAAAATTTTGGACTTGTGAGAGGCTTAAAATGACCCCAGGTCGATCATAAAGTAACGTGTAACCAACGCTGAAAAGCCTTTGACTCTATCTCAATCCCTTGAGAAGTTGCAGCACTTTGAAATAAATTTTGATGGAAAAAATCGAGGCAAAATAGTGATTTTTGGCAATTTTGAGATGTCCCCTCGTTGCCATGGTAACAGGAAATTTAAGACTGAGCATGTCGTTACAAAGGCAATCGTCCAGTCGACATTTGTGCCAAGTTTGATTAGTATTGAAGCATTTTTCATAGTTTCATAGCAGTTTGAACTTGTAACAGGGGCTTTTCAGTGAAAACGGCCATTTTTCACAATATGCTCATGGGGGAATGGGTTAATTGTTTTAAATTGATTAGTATGAAAAACATTTTTATTAGCCAATAATAAGTTGATAATTCTAATTGATATATACTATCCATTGTTAAAATTTCTATTGATGTAAAAGTGATAATTTAATCAAACTAAGATCACTGCACTACTTAATTGATTGTTATGAATGCTTTAACAAAGCAATTTTAAGCAATTTTAATGTGATTGAAATGTGCTAATTGAATGTGCTTTTCTGCTGAAATATTTTCTACTTATTTATACCTTAAGCTCTCATATCCACTTGATAAATCGAAAATTCCTCCGAGAGGGATTTTGTCCTAGGTAGCAATTTTATGAAGGGGATTTTGTCCACCTCAAAATTTCAAGCATGAAGGGGATAGGATAATGTCCACCCATGGAGGGGATTATGTCCAGATATGCAAAAATACATGAAGGGGATTTTGTCCGAAGGGGATTATGTCCGTACACCGGATATTCCTGTTATTTTGCAAATTTCAGAAGGTAAACCACTCTTTTTGTTGTTGATTTTCTTGATCAAACAATGAGAAACACAGGGCTATATGCCAGAAATCTAGAAGGTAGACATGTATTTTTGTGTCGCCTCTACACAAAACTTGTCTGGACTACTCCTCATAAACTACTGGTGCAATTTCATCCAAACTTTACAGGAATGATCAGTACCAAGTCTAGTTGTGCATATTGTCAGCATTTTCCGGTTCAATGATTTTTGTCAGAGTTATGGCCCTTTAATAATTTTTATTTTTAAAGTTTGTCCGGACTACTCCTCTAATACCACTAATGCAATTTCAATGAAACTTTACAGTATTGATCTGTAGCTCAAGTCCTTGCGCATATTGCACGGGTTTTCCGGTTGAATGATTTTTAGCCGTGTTATGGCCCTTTGGTAAAAAAGGTGTTTTCTGTGTGATGCCAGATACACAAAAGCTTGTCCGGATTACTCCTCATAAACTACTGGTGCAATTTCATCCAAACTTTACAGGAATGATCAGTACCAAGTCTAGTTGTGCATATTGTCAGAATTTTCTGGTTCAATGATTTTTTGTCCGAGTTATGGCCCTTTAATAATTTTTATTTTTAAAGTTTGTCCGGACTACTCCTCTAATACCACTAATGCAATTTCAATGAAACTTTACAGGATTGATCTGTAGATCAAGTCCTTGCGCATATTGCACGGGTTTTCCGGTTGAATGATTTTTTGCGGAGTTATGGCCCGTTGATAAAAGGTGTTTTTTTCTGTGTGTTGCCAGATACACAAAAGCTTGTCCGGACTTATACTCCTCATAAACTACTGGTGCAATTTCATCCAAACTTTACAGGAATGATCAGTACCCATTTTAGATGTGCACTGTCAGTCTGTCACAAAACTTATCCCAACATGAAATTGGCCATCATGAGGCGACACATGTGATCACTGATCGCTCTTGTTAATTGTTTGCTGTGAGATACATATGTATACATGTATATGTTAAATATGAAATGCATGTATTTCAGGTGCCTGATTACAGACTTGTTTGTGACGCATTTAGTTTTTGCAGAGAAGCCTTGAAAACTGTGTATTGCCCCCTTTACAGTGAAAAATAGACCAAACTGGATGAAAATGATTAACACCTGGAAAACTGCTAGGGGCCAGAAACTGCTCGGAAACCAGTAGGCCTACTGAAATCAAGTTGATTGATTTCGGTATCATAAAGAACTAATATTTTGTAGTTTGGAACAAATTGCTTGTATGCCTACCACTTTTAATGTAGAGTGATACCATAGGTATAGCAAATTAGGAAGAGCTGTTAATGGAATAAAACTATGGCTTATCATTGTAATATTATTGCTGATGGGGATATATCGAAACAGTCTGAAATTTTACCATTCGTTCAATTTTTAGAAAGGAAAATAAATGGATGGGGTTATAATTGTTACATCCCAGACAGAGACTTTCCACCAGGAATGTCAATTTTTGAACAACATAGTAAAATGCATTCAGAGAATAAAGTAACTTTTGTAGCTTTAACATCAACGAGTATTAGTGGAAACTTTCGATACATGATTGAAATGTTATTAAATTACCAACTCCACTCATCTCATTCAGACATAAAAAGACCTACACTTGTACCGGTGTATTTAAATATTGACCATTTGAATCACCCAGTTTTAGATGTGATTAAACCTGTCCGAATATATGGATCAAAGGAAGATGAGTGGGAAGACTCAGATTCAAATAGCAGAGCTTTTAGTCAACTAAGAGAGGTAAGTTTTATACTTGTCACATATTAGTTTTGAACTACTTTTAACATATTCTACCAGCCAATTTTGCTATTTTGGAAAAAAACAAAACAGGACAACCATCAAACAGGGATGGCCTAGTCAAATATATTGGCATGCCAAAGCTAGATTCTGGGATATGATTGTTCTGAGACAGAATCAAACTTCTAGAAGGAAGATCTATACTGCCCATGGATAGGCAAAATAGCACAATAGTCAGCAGTATTTTAAAAACATTGACATTGAATATTTGGACATTGACATTGAAAATTTGGAGTCAAGAGTGCAAAACCTGACCTCTTATACTCGCTGTAATCCTTTTATTATGCTCCCCAAAATTTTTTTTGTGTCCAATCTGTATCTTTAGAACTGGCAGAAGGAAATTGAAACTACATGGCAGAATTCTTAACTATAATGAGACGTTGAAAGGTTTGACCTTTCTCTGGTCAAGGTCAAGATCTATATCTTTAATGAATTTAGCGACTTTTGTTCAACACATAAAGCGACCACTTTAACGTGTCAATTAATTGTGTTTTTAGAGAATGCCGCCTCATAATGTCACAAGTGTCAACAATCAAAATACTGAATCAAAGCACAGATGGCGCTGAATTTGTTTGGGTCTCAGAATGTAAGAAAGGTGCAGGTTGTGAGATTATATGTTTAGTGCCACCAATGCTTTCCAGCGTTTTAATTGTAGTAAATTGGCTATAAGACTAATTGCAACACTGATATTCAATCCAATGTTTATTTGACTTTAACAATTTAAAAAAATGAGTTACCTTTACTGGGATTTGAACTCCAGACCTCTCGCTTCCTAAGCGAGCCCGAAAACCCTTCAGCCACGGTTAAATTTATATGTGAACGGCCTGAAGAAAACCATATTATTCTAAATTAGGGCTTGTAACGACTTTTAACTGTTGTTTAACACAGATGTAAATAATCCTGAAGTTTACTTTAAGCATGTATATTTATAAAGAATCAAAGGGCTGCAAGTTCTGTGGTATTTTCTGATCTTTGCAATCTAAATCGTACTGTATATCTGTATGCATTTTCCTGTATAAGTTTATTTTTATGTATTATAATTCATTTTGTAAGGCACATACGGAATTTTGCATAACTAGAGTTGCATCAAAAAATCATTTATGTACTTTTTTTACGACAGCCACACTTTATCCTTGTAAATCATGGCTACTTCCTTAACAAAAACACTTAAAAAAAGAATTTAACCAAAAAAAAAATTTCATCGACTGGGATTCGAACTCGAGACCTCTCACTCTCTAAGCGAGCGCGTTACCACTGTACCACGGAGAAGTTATACACAGATTGTCTGAATAATATCAAGTCATTCTAAATTTAGAACTTCCATTGCATTCAGGTTTGTAATCCTTATCAATTTCGAGGTATTTTGTTCAGGGTAAACCTGTTGTTTAAAATTGAAGTAAATATTTTAGCGAAAATTCTCACGCCCAAACAGTCCAACATGTAGAATCTATATATTCCACTACTCGGTTTGTGTAGTATTCGGTAATCTACATGGCTAAAAATAGTATTTTCATTGATAAAATCATATTCATCCGCGTAATTTGTGATTGTGCATTTATTGACAATTCTATAAGCCAACGCTATTGTTTAACTTTAAATGTGTTGTAATTTGTTGGATACTTGTAACAAAATAAAATATTTCTTTTTTTTAAATCGCTAGTTTTAAGCTGTTATGAGAACTACTTGTTGTTAGGTTTGTCGTAAACTTCTGTGTCAGAGATTGAATGTCCGCTTTGTATTTAGTTATTTTCGATCAGAAAATACAATAAAACAATATTAGAAATCTTCGACCATTCGGGAATTACTTTGCTTGAAAATTGATGCGCCTGTCTTTGACCATCTTTACGCAGTGATCTCCCCTGAATTTTTCGGCTTTAGTGTACATACAAAAGGGAAGTAACCGCTTCAAAAAAGTGGACTACTTTCGGCATTTGCAATTAACAACATTAGCCTCTGAAATTTCGCTACCATTATTTGTTTGGTCTGACGACCCAAACAAATAAAAACTGTATTTCCCAAACCGTTTTAGTGTTATAATGCATATCAACTTAAGTATAAGCCTGATGTGTATTATCCAATCATATTGATTAAACAATGCAAGGCTCCGCCCCTACTGAGATGGTGTATATGCTTCGCTTGTTGATATTTAGACTGCATTGAATTGACCTTGAACTTGATCAGCAATTAAATGAATCTTTACAATTAGATGTATACTGTAAAATGATTATTATTCGTGGGGCACAAATTTTTTTGTGGTTTTAGTGGGTAGGTCCATCCATGAATTTAAGATCCAACAAAATTTTATCCCAATAAACACTTCTTGCTATGTCTGTATTCTATATATTACAAACATGCATCAGCGCTTCTTCCGCTGATTTTTGTGTAATGAATTTATTGAAGCGCTATGTGATACGTAAAGATAATGTACACGCAGTAAGTAAAATGCGTGGTGATTAAGTGTAAGATTACTTTGCGTTAGGTTATTTTTTTTTTCAAGATGAATTTAAGAACCAACGAAAATACCCATTTTGATAAAACCACGAAATTTCATGCCCACGAATATAAGTGACTTCGCAGTAGTTTGTTTATTTCAAATGAAAAAATGCACAACAGAAAACATCTTCACTTATCAGGTTTTTCGGAAAACAACAGAGAAGTTAAAAATTTCTGGAAAATGTCAAACATGTACGTAATGGATCAATACTGTTTTGTCAATAGATATCAGAAAGTTATAATGTGGGAGCATATAGCGTTGCACTTGTCCGTCCGTCCGTCAGTCAGTCTGTCATTCCATCAGTCCGTCCGTCAGTCCGTCCGTACGTCCCAAAATCTTGTGAACGCAACTCCTCTTAAACCGGATGGCAGATTTTGCTTAAACTTACAGGGATGAACAACCTTAATGTGTAGATGATAGTAAAGGAAGGAATTTTCGCTGCGATCAAATTTAACAGAATAATGGCCCTTTGTTGATTTTTTCACTAGATACTATGTAGAAATTTTGTGAACGCAACTCCTCTTAAACCGGATGGCAGATTTTACTTAAACTTACAGGGATGAACAACCTTAATGTGTAGATGGTAGTAAAGAAAGGAATTTTCGCTGCGACCAAATTTTACAGAATTATGGCCCTTTGTTGATTTTTTCACTATATACTATGTAGAAATTTTGTGAATGCAACTCCTCTTAAACCGGATGGCAGATTTTGCTTAAACTTCCAGGGAAGAACAACCTTAATGTGTAGATGGTAGTAAAGGAAGGAATTTTTGCTGCGACCAAATTTAACAGAATTATGGCCCTTTGTTGATTTTTTCACTCTATACTATGTAGAAATTTTGTGAACGCAACTCCTCTTAAACCGGATGGCAGATTTTGCTTAAACTTACAGGGATGAACAGCCTAAAGATGTTGATGGTAGTAAAGGAAGGAATTTTTGCTGCGACCAAATTTTACAGAATTATGGCCCTTTGTTGATTTTTTTCACTTTATACTATGTAGAAATTTTGTGAACGCAACTCGTCTTAAACCGGATGGCAGATTTTGCTTAAACTTCCAGGGATGAACAACCTTAATGTGTAGATCGTAGTAAAGGAAGGATTTTTTGCTGCGACCAAATTTAACAGAATTATGGCCCTTTGTTGATTTTTAGTTTTCAACTTGTTGCACATGTAGTCCAAAAAATATTTGACCTAGAGTCATAAGATTGACAGAACAGTGGCGTGTGGGGGCATCAGTGTCCTATGGACACATTTCTAGTTTACATTAGCATCCATTTAGATAATTGGAGCATTCTAATTATTCAATATTTATATAAATGAAGTTAAAACATTCCCACCTCGAAAGAAAGATGTGGTATTATAAATTTTGACTTTTTTTACTGTTTTTTCTTAAGAGACTGTTTCATTAAGCGACCATTTTGGGTGTTTAATACACGCTTGACTGTATATTAATTGAGACGGTGTGCAGAACACAAGTTAAATTGGCCCCACCCTGGAGCTTAATTGAATTATATAGACCTATACAGGAATTTGTGTCTGGTCTGTATCTTTTGAACCGGTGGAAGGAAATTCAAACTTAACTTAGCAGAAATGTTAATCGTAATGAGACGATGTGCAGGTTTTATTTTCCTCAGGTCAAAGTCAAGGTAACACTTAGTCATTTTGTATCAATTTCAAAATAGTGTTTTCCTTCTGTTTCAATAAAACTGATTATATGAAATTATTTGATAGATGTATTCATATTATTAGCATAGCGCAGTTTAAGAATACCTCAGGTCAAGGTCAAAATTGGCCCCGCCCCGGTGGGATCATTGATTATCCTGATATATCTATTGTGAAAACTTATAAAATCTTCTTTAAAAAAACCCCAAAGAGCTAGAGCTTAGATTTTAGATGAAATATCTTCTTGTGAGTGACTACCAAGTTTGTTCAAATAAAAGCCCTGGGGTCAAAATTGGCTCCGCCCCGAGGATCATTGATTTTCCTTATATGTATATTGTGAAAACAAAAAAAATCGTCTTTTAAAAAACCCAAAGAGCTAGAGCTTAAATATTAACCATGAAACATTTTCTAGAGAATGTCTACCAAGTTTGCCCTAGGGTCAAAATTGGCCTCTTCCTAGTGGGTCATTGTCTATTGTAGAAACTTAAAAATATGTCTTTTAAAAAGCCTAAAGAGCTAGAGCTTAGATATTAAGCATGAAACATTTTCTAGTGAGACTCTACCAAGTTTGTTCAAATAAAAGGCATTGGTTCAAAATTGGCTCCGCCCTGGGGGTCATTGATTTTTTTAATATGTATATAGTAAAAACCAAAAAAAATCTAAAAAAAACCCCCAAAGAGCTAGAGCTTAGATATTAAGCATAAAACATCTTTTAATGGATGTCTGCCAAGTTTATTCAAATAAATGTTCTGGGGTCAAAATTGGCCCCACCCCAGGGGTCATTGA